TTCCCCCCTCTATATATCGTATAAATTAGGGTATAAGCTTCCAAACTTAATATTGCACTTTTTATAGAAATTTCGTTTTTGCAGTAGCAACTGATCAAATATATCCAACTCAAATTTCCTTTAGTCATTACCTTTGACATATTGGAATCTTAGTCACTTAATTTGTATGCACTCCTGATGAAAATATGGGGGTGAATACATGTCTAACCATGAGGCATTTCCCCATATGTTTGTTAGTTTTTTGGTGTAAAAATATACGGGAATCCTACGAATTTATATGTATTTTTCAGTTCTTACAAATGATCTAAAAATAAACAAAAATTACAATAGAACTGAAAATAAATTACAACTTGAAAACATAAATATTTTAGCCGAGACGAGTAGACTTTTTCCGCAAGAAGAATATGCCCCGTGTGGTGCTAACGGTTCAGGCGTTACTTCACCAAAGATACAATGATAAACATCTCTAAATCTGTAGCACACCAGATTTACGAGCTCCGGTGAACTAGAACGGAGGCGAGAATTGAACACTATAAAATAAAAAAAAAATATCTATCTTTTGTTAACGAATAAATATTTCTATTTTTTCTTTTCTCTCCCTCTTTCTCTTCTTGCTCTTCTTTTTCTTCTGTTTTTCCCTTGAGTGAGAAGACCCATATTTATAGATGGGTTTCTGAGCAAGTTGGCAGGTGTTTCCAGCTGCAAATTGTTCAACTTGTTTTAATAAATTAACAAGAGAAAATGGTGGTTGAGAGTTTGTGTCAGACTCTTCACGCGTCTTCAGTATAATTTGCCAACTTGATTTAATAATTAACATGATGAAGTGGTTGGAGTGGTTGGGAGCTTTAATTAATTAACACTCAATTACAATAATCCCCCACATGAGTGTAAATTATATATATATATATATAGAATAGTGTGCTCAATCCTCACAAAACTCTATTGCATCAGAAAATGTAGCTTGTGGTTTTGAACCTCTCTTAATGAACATCATCGGATGTACTGGCCGCCTAGTGGACATAATGCCTTGAATTATTCTTCCATAGTGTACACCAAGACAATGACATTCACACAATAAAGTCTTAACTCCATCCCGTTCTATTTTTGTGTCCGTTTTGGCCTTGGACAACACTTTGGATTCATAAGTGTTAACATTTGAAGCGGCCCTCACTTCACACTTGTATAGGTGACCTCCCTATCAAGAGTATCATGTATTACTCCACTTTACAAGGTTAGAGATTCATTAAAAGTCCAGATGACTTACCATCACCACAATCAACAGGTCATTCTGCACTTGGAGTGCTCTAGGGAATAGCTTTGGACATTCTTTATGTTCCAAGTGCTCAGCTGAGTTTTCATAGCTTAGTTTTTCCCTTGAACCAAGTTTATGGGATCTCCATTCAGCAAGATAGGGTTACCACTATGATCATTCTTTTCATTATGGATTTTTAAGCCATTCCCTCTAGCAATAATTTCAATTGATCTCTATTCAATCTTTTCGTCAAATGATCAGCCATTTTTTTTTTTTTGACTTCATATAGTCAATGGAAATAATACCATTTGTGATCAATGGCAATCGGTATTATGTCTACGACGAATATGTCTAGACTTATCGTTATACATGTTGATTTGAGCCCTTCTTATAGCAGTCTGGCTATCACAGTGAATCATCACATGCGGCAAATGCTTACTCCAACATGGTATATCGGATGAAAAGTTTCGCAGCCACTCGGCTTCTTCACCAGCTTTATCTAAAGCGATGAACTCTGATTCCATTATTGACCGAGCTCTACAAGTTTGTTTTGTGGATTTCTACGAAACTGCATCTCCTCCAATACAGAAACATATTCGCTATTATAGTGAGAATCTCTCGAATCTGATATCCAGCTTGCATCACAATACCCTTCAAGTACAACTGGGTATCTCGAGTATTTTAGTCCGTATTCAAGGGTGTACTTCAAATACTTAAGTACCCTTTTCAAAGTATTCCAGTGCTCATGACTGGGATTGCTCGTAAATCTGCTCAACTTATTCACCGGATATGCCAAGTCTGGTCATGTACAATTCGTCAAGTACATCAAACTCCCTATTATCCATGAATATTCCAGTTGGGCCACTGGTTGACCTTTATTGGCTACTAGATTCATGCTAAGATCAAAGGGTGTCTTACACCTAGACTGTGCACCGTCATAGGCATCAAATTTCTTGAGCACTTTTTCTGCATAATGAGATTGTGACAAGATAATTCCATTTTGGGTTCTGATAATCCTTATTCCAAGAATAACATCAAACAAACTCATATCTTTCATGTCGAAATTTTTCTTCAACATTCTTTTCTTATTCATGAATCATAATCACTTCATGGCTACTCCCCATGACCAATATATCACCCACATATAGACATACAATTACAAATGTACTTAATGTACTCTTAACATAAACACATTTGTCACATTCGTTGATTTTAAAATCATTTGACACCATCACGTCATGAATTTTCAAATGTCATTATTTCGGAGCTTGTTTCAGTCTGTACAAGGATTTGATCAATCTGCACACCTTTTTCTCTTGTCCAGGTGCTACAAACCCTTCAGGTTGTTCCATATAAACTTCTTCTTCCAATTCACCATTCAAAAATGTCGTCTTGACATCCATTTGGTGAATCTCAAAATTGTGCAGAGCAGCAATCGAGAGAAGCACTCTATCGATGCTAAACGCGTAACTGGTGAATATGTATTGAAGAAGTCATACCCTTCTTTTTGTTTAAAGTCTTTGACCACCAATCGTGCTTTAAACTTATCATTCGTTCCATCAGCTTTATATTTCCTCTTTAGGATCCACTTGCATCCTAAAGGTTTACAATCCTAAGAGAGATCAACCAATTCCCAAGTATTATTTTGCATAATAGACTCAATTTCACTATTTATAGTTGTTTCCAAGAGTGGTCCATCTGGGCTGGACAGAGCTTCCTTTATGGAACTCGGTTCATCGTCCAACATGTACGTAATAAAATTAGGTCCAAACATTTTTTGTCGTTTTTACCCTTTTACTACGTCTCGGTTCTTCATCTTTTTCTTCAGTACCATCTGAAATAGAACCGCTAACAGTTTCATACGTCCGTTTATTAGAACTAGATTCTGCCATTCCTTTTAGAGGAAAAATATTCTAAAAAATATAGCATTCCCCGACTCAATTGTGGTACCAACTGATATCTCCGGATTTCTGATTTATGAATAAAAAATATATATGTTGTACTATATACGCTTATCCAATAAATATACAATCGACTGTCTTTGGTCCGATTCTCATTTGTTTGGGTTCAGGAACTGAAACCTTAGCCAAACACCTCCACACTTTCAGGTATTTATAAGACGGCTTACGATTTTTCAACATTTCGTAAGGAGTCTAATTTTTTCCTTTAGGTGGTATTTTATTCAGGATATGATTTGTTGTTAAAACAGCTTCCCCCCACATGTTTTGGGGCAGTCCTGAATTTATCAACATGACATTCATCATTTCTTTTAAAGTTCGGTTCTTGCGTTCTGCAACGCCGTTCGACTGTGGAGAATAGGGGGCCGTCATTTGATGAATTATGTCATATTCAGAACATATTTGTTCAGAATGAGCTACATACTCCACACCTCCTATCACTTCTGATTATTTTAATCCTTTTGTCGAGTTGATTTTCAACTTCGGTCTTATAAATGTTAAACGCTTCCACAACCTCGCCTTTGCTTATTAACAAATATAAGTAGCAAAACCTTGTGCAATCATTGATA